TACTTGGGTTTCATCCGAGAGCCAGCTTAGTGTGGATTACAGAGCTCAGGTATATCCATGGGGCAGAATTTTTTGCGTGTTTATGCTGTGGTTGCTCCTAAAAGCTGTGGTAATTTGACAGTCCCTGCCTGAAGAAGTTTGCAGTTTGAAAAGGCTAATCAGTCTAAAGCATGGGAAGGAGAAACAAAAAGAGTTCGTGGTTTGCTCCTGGGCAAGATATACTCTGGGAGGGAAACAGGTTTCAGTTGGATAACCTGTGTTCTGACTAGACTAGATGTTCTTATCCCCGTTAATTTTTGTTAGATTTCATTCTTTAGCTTTATGGATTAGCAACACTACCTTGGGAGTGATATTTATAGTTTCTGATTACTGTGGAGACTAATTTAGTTCTCTGCAAGGAAGATGGTATCACTCCTATTTGAGCTTTGTTTTCTGGCGTATACAAAAGGTTGCTTTGCTGATACTAAGCATTTAAGTACTCCAGGCTTATCCTCCCAGAATTACAAGAGTTCGAAGGGTTGGACCTTTCTCATCTCCCCTGGGCTTTTGAGGCTTTATAAGGTCATGCTTCCTGGCTCTTCTCTCCACAGGGACAAGGCCTAGACTCAGTCCAATATTAATTTGATGTCATGATAGCTGAGGGCTTCCTGTGTTACAGATGATGGATGCTTTTACTGCTGTGGCCGTGTACATGGGTTTGGTTCTTGATCGGGTGGGTAGGCTGAGAGGAGGTCCTTGTTCCCAGCACATGTGCCTGAGCAGCTTGCTGGGTGCTGCCTGAGCCAGTGTACATCGTAGCCAGAGAGGAAGGGAGGTCTGTGCCGTGGATGCAGCATTCAACTGAAGTTCAGGAATGAGCTGCGGCTGCAAATCATTTGATGGTGAGGCTTGCAGAAAATAACCTCTGTCAAATAGTCCCAGCTGTTTGATTTTTTTGGTTTGTTCTGGTGCTCTCTGTCTCTTGTACTGATAGAGCACATGAAAGTTCAGCATGGCATTTGAAGAGGCTAGTTTATATTGTATGAGTCCCAGTGATTCCTCCTTTGTTTACATACATTATAAGACCTAATGTCTAGTAGCGTGGCTCTTGGGGGGATCCCATCTATAAGATATGAAGCCAGGTTCTAATCTGACTGCCAACTGGAGGGATCAGCTCGTGCTGGTGTTGTCCCAAGAAGCTCTGGCTGCCATCACTCATCACAGTGATCTTGTGCCAGCCTGGCCCAAAGCACTGGCATCAAGAGACTGCATGGCTGCTAAAGCTCTGTGCCTGTGACTTTTTGTGGTTGCTACTGAAAATGAAAAAGTGAAACTAATTTGCGGGTAATGGATGTGCGGCTAACAGAAACACATCCCCCCTAACACCAGCAGGTTGCTTATGGCATATTTTGTGCATCTAAAAATATTCTCTTTTTTTCAGCAGCTAATTTTGTTTAAAGACTGTTTTCACACATCAGTGGCTGTTAATCAGTTAAGGAGTTATCAGTTTTAATATTAGAAGGAAAGAAGTAGGTGTCATTGACAGCTTAAAACCATTTCTATTCAGCTGGCTTGCAGCAGATTATGAGGAATCTTAGGCTCATCTTATTTCTCCTCCTTTTCCCACCCTCTTTAAAAGACAGATAATACCATTAAATAAACGGCTGTACTGTGCTAATTCTACATATCCTTTGAAGAACCATTGAATTAGAAATACCGAGATAAAAATATAAGACCAAAATAAGATTTAATTAGACATTAAACTCCAGACTCCAGACCATGTAATTTTAAATAAAATCATGTATACTTCATGAGAAGATTTTAAGGTTGGCTTTCAGAAGAGGAACAGTAAGACAACAGACCAAAACCCAAGGTATATGCTTACAAGGCACAGGCTGCTTATGGCTCTGTTTTGCTGCAAATCCAGACCACAAAATCATGGAACCTCTGAAGACTACCTAGTCCAACTCCCCTTCAGCTAACACAAATACCCAACTCTTTGCCAGCAAAGGCAGAAAAGTAATATACTAGCCCTTGCTTTTTGGCTGTTGAGCTTGTCCAGGACTGTGCTCATGATGCTACCATTATACCTGCTCTGCAGGTGGAGGGTAAGATGTACCGGAGACAGCTCTCATGTCCAAATCAAACCAGGTAAGAGTGCAGAGAAAAATCGTGCAATAGGTACTAGTTGTTCTCCCAAGCTCCTGTTCACCTATGGCTGGGAAACTGGGCTGGGGTAGCTGAGCAAATGCCCCTCTGTCCTCCCCAAAGCATCTGCTGCTGGGCTTTTGACTCTGCACACCTTTCATCTGATTTGCTGTGGCAGTTCTGACGTGTATTTTATTTATTGTCCTTCTGCTTTTTTTTTTTTCTTTCTTTCTTTAATAGCTATTTTTCTTTTCTTTAATAGCATAGCTCATCTCCTTTTCCTGAATTCTTTCTTTTGAACTGATATGAAGGTCTTCCACTTAGATTTGACAGCCCACTGTGCTGGGTGTTTGTTGTGAGGATTGATGTTGCAACTTTCAGTATAATGTAATGCCCTTGAATATGCCTTCTTATACTATTTGGGCAGAGGAGGGACCTGTCTGACCCAGGGGAGCTTCAGATTACACAAAAACTGATCTAGTTTAGTTTCATTTCACATCCCTCATTAAAAAAAAAAAAAGGTTATTGGTGTTGTGAATCTGTTGGCAGTGCACTTACTCATGAAAACAAAACATTCCCTTCAAGCTGAGCTATGTATCATACCGCCATTAACAAACTGCACCACGTTGAAAATATGTTGAGGAAAACTGATTTATGTTGCATTTGCTGCTTTGCACACAATAGAAGCACAGTAAACTCTCGTGCCATAATGATTTAATGATTTTCTGTCTGTCTTGATGGGTCATAATGAGATAAATTCGAGTCCTTTTCTGAAGGCTAATTACTTCGAGTACACACTAGACGTGGGTTGCACTCTTTATACTTCACATGTGTTTGTGTTTTCATTCTCCCATCTCTTTTGTCTGCATATACAAGTGAGTTTTGATCTGTCTTTGAAATACAGATCAAAGGCTGGAGTCATGTCATGGTCTCTTCTACCTGAAGACTCTCCAGAGCATTTGTAACTATTCCTGCTGTACAGATAGGGTAGCACCTGAAGATAGCTGTGAAGTAAATAAAGTAAAGAAACTGTGTTAGAAACTGAGGAATGTGCCATAAGACATCAGGGCAGCTTGCGGTAAGTGTGTTAGCAATTATCTAGAATAAGTTTGGCTGTAGGTGTGTTCACTGTGCCCCATGCATGGCTACAAGATAAGGACTGTGTGCTCCAGAACTCACAGCCTAAATATGAAAAAATAATTGAATGCTGAGCAATTTTGGAAATTGCTTGCATGGTACAGGCAAAACTCAAGGTGGAACTTGGGGAGGTGTATGGTTTGCTCCTGGATTGCTATCCCTTTTGCTGATCTCCATCAGCAAAGACTTGCTGGTGATTCCAAGGGATTTTCTCCCTGTATTGTAGAGAGCTGATACCAGAATAGCTGCCATACCAAATAAAACACCGTATGTTTTTGATAGGAGTTGATGTGCAAGTGTCTCACCTTTGGTAAAAAAGTTTGTGATGAAAGGGGAAGATGTCAAGAGAGTTTCTCACTACAGGGAGCAGAGTCAACTTTAGAGCCAGTTGTCCTACTTGGTCCTTCAGAGGAAAAGGGATTAATAATAAAAATTTACACTTTATCTGCAGGAAAGTTGAACTCAGTCATCACATCTTCCGGTTGAATTTTAGCACATGGCCTTTGTGCTGTTTTTGTCTGGGACATTGATGGTGGGATAGTATAAATGCTTCTGCTGTCAGCTCATTTGCTATTCAACTGGGGACATTTGAATGCAGATGGAAAGGTTCTGGGATTTCCAGGTAACTCCTGTAAATCTTAATGTCAAGGCCTGTCCATCATTGATACCAAACTGGACATAAGAGCATCTTTGAAGGGAAAAATGTGGCAGCTTTTTGGAGTCAGGCAACATGTTTATATATCTTTGCTTTTTGAGGTGACCAACAAATCAGGTTTTCCACAGGTTTTATCTGTGCTTTGTTTTTCTTTGTGGTAACTGTGGCCTTGTAATTCTGTATACCAACTATGTGATTACAGGTCCACTTGGCTTGTTTCTAAAGACAAGGTGGAAACACAGAAACCTAGGATTGTCACTGCTTGTGCTGCATGCACACAGAGGTGAATGAATGCAGAGATCATTGTTTAGGTGAAACAGCACTTGTTCCATGAGCTTGGAAACAAAGTATTACTGTACTGAGTTCAAATTCTGATAAAAGAAAGAGAATAAAAAAACCCAAGCTATCCTTAGCCAATATATTACATTTGTGAGAACACAAAAATTTCTTATATGGAGACTTTGTGCTTTATCGTGCATATATATTGGGGCCAGAAGGAGCACCCTGCATGGCAAGCATGCTTGATTCAGGCTATACCCAGAGCAATCTGTCTTATATAGAGTACTTTAAAATTCATCATAGGTTTTCAGAGTAAGAAGCCCTAGGGAAGTAGCCTTATCACAATGTCTTAAAGCTTTCGATCTCAAGATCCCCTCCACCACTGTATTGTTATTATGTGCTGAGACATTGATTTCTGGGTATAGAACATCTTAAACAAAAACCACAAGATGTATTTTACGTGCTTTTCTAAAACTGAATGAAAAAAAATCCCGAACTCAATAATGTTTTCTAAAGCAGAGAGAAAAGGTGTTACCTCATGCATTCAACACAGAAAATAAATACTCAGCAAAGGCAGATGCTAGGGGGGAAATATAGTCAACAGATTCTCATTTTCTTTTCATGCAGATATTTAAGTGTTCATTGTACACTGGTGGAGTAGACTTGTTTTGAAATATACAAACCAAATAGCTTGCGAGTGTTTGTCTGTTTTCTTTGTAGCTGAAGACATGTTTTTAAAAGGAAATGTGAAGACACTAATTTTATGATGGGAGAGCTTAGTCTGTGGTTCTTCTTTTTACAGTATGCAGACCTGGGTTCTTCAAAGCTTCACCCCACAGTCCATCCTGCAGCAAATGTCCCCCTCACAGCTACACGCTTGATGAAGCATCCACATCTTGCCTGTGTGAAGAGCACTATTTTAGGAGGGAATCAGACCCACCTACAATGGCCTGTACAAGTAAGCATGTGCTTATAGGGTTGTTTTTAATCCTTTTGAGCTGTTCCTGTACTGTGACTAGACATGATCCTAATGTGCTTTTACAGGCTCTGGGCTTCAGTCTGAGCTCGTCTGACACAGTCTTAATGTCACTAGCTTTGTCCACCATACCCCCAATTACATGAGGAGACTCAGCCCTTTGGAAAGCATCTTTGGAAAGATGCTGTTAAGCTTCAGGAGCATTTAAGTAACAAATAGATCCTCCATCTCTTGTAGTTTGCTCTTCAAGCATCCAGAGATGTTCTCAGCCAGCAGCGCTGCACTCAAGTGTGTGCATGGGTACCTGGGTCAGGCACATATGTGGAGGAAACTATGGATAGTGATTGTCTGCTCTAGATATAAGTAGAGTATATATGGTCCTGCTTAGCATCATCTCTCAACTCATTTTCAAGTAGATAGTGAGGGAGAGAACTTTGCCTTTCCAAACCACCTAGAGATTGTTATTCTTCAAGGTAGTCTCAAAACTTGCAAGGAGAAAATGCATCTCCAAACTGGTATAAAAAATGTAGAGCTTATCACTTGGTGTGGGGAGGGTGGTATAACAAGCAAGTTGGGGTTTTAAGAGTTGAATTGGTGAAATCAGAATCACTAGTTTTACCCTTGTCCTATTATTCTTTCATCTGTAGCATGAAGGCTGGTTGTTCTGTTTGTTTTATATTTCAAGTATGTAGGGCCTCAGTTTCCATACCTCCAGCTAGTATCCCTGTGTGAAGCACAGGCCATGGGTTTTTGTGGGGCCAGATCTGTCAGGGTCCAAATGTAATTTTGCAGGCAAAAGTGATTAAAAGGGACTGAAGAGGAGCTGAACTACTGGGGTAGGAGCAGGCAGAACTTCCAGGGGACGTCAGCAATGGAGAAAAAGCAGATGTGTAAGTTCAGTCCACGTACTCGCTCAGCGCCACCTGGGAGTGATGTAGAGATGACTTCCATCCTGTTTCCTTTGCATAATCCTTTCCAGGAATGGGAATTTCACAGTTGAATAGATGCTAGATCCCTTTAAGGTTGTGTCAGTGGCATATTAATGTTCATCATGTCACGGGGCTCTTCTCCTGGCTGTCCTCCGTGCAGGGATGAGGAGGAGAGATTTGTAAGCAGAGTGAAAAAGAGCAGAGAGCAAAGGATTGCAGGGACAGGCATGAAAACTGAGGTTGGATGTGGCACTTACTGTGCCTTCATCCTGCTGAATAAAGCTGTCTTTTCTAGCTTCTCAAGTTGGCACTTCAAAAAAGAGAAGGAAAAAGGCTGTTCCAGTTGGAGAGTCTCTTCACATAGGAGGACTGCCTGCTCTCAGCAGATCTCTTCCCACCTGGAATAGTCGCTTGGCACAGGAAACACAGGAGAAACAAGGCTCTTGATCTCAGTATTTACCTTTTATATTAAGGAATGTGAAGCACATGGCTGTTGAAGTTCTGCTACAGGGAAGAATAAGACAGCCTCAGGCACTGTGACAGTGACAATACTATGGCATCAAAGTGGTGGCTAGGATGGGCTACGGCATGGGAAGCTATGACAACAGTACTCCCTGATGTCTATTTTGCCCTGGGACATGTTTTTAAAAACTTTGATAAATGAGAGAAAGGACCAGTATTGATGGTATTGGGAAATGGGAAGAGAACTCTGAAAAGGCACACAAAATCAGCTTCTTTTGAGCAGACTAAACCAAAGCCAAGGCAGAGTAATGCCAGACAGTCCTGCTGATGAGTTAGCACACAGAAGAAGCAACCAGCTCTGAAGAAGAGGTTTATGCAAGCCCATGACCTGAGCATGGGGTTTCTGGAACAGTCTGAATCCTGTAGGTAAAGACTGTAATTTATGATGCCATGAATAGTGGATTGGTATTCCTTTTATATACTTTTCTTACTTGGGTTTTATTTTGGTGGTGGTTTGTTTTTTGTTGTTGCTGATGATGATTAGTCAGTTTGGGATTTTTTTGTTTGTTTGTTGCTGTTTGGGGGTTGTTTTGAAGGCTTACTATAAGCTTGTTTAAAGTCCAGGCAGTGCACACACCAGTGGTGTGTGAAGCTGTATTTGGATGTGGTTTGGCAGGGTACTGAGTGCTTCTGACGTAAATGAGAGTTTTAATGCCAACTCAGGCACTGCTTACTTCTCTAGCCTGCTGTTTCAGAGGATGCTGCTATGCCACATACAGGGCAAACTCGTACAGTAGTATAGGCTGTTGAAGCATCTCTGATGAGATTTATACTTAGTACTCCCAAAAGCTGAGTGCATCATCTGAGCCCTCTTTGTGCGCTTCAGTGTGCTAAGTCATCCTCCCTTCTCCTATGCATCCTTTCTTGGGATTTTGTGCTAATCCAGCTGTTTCTGTGTTAGAGGTGGTAAGGAGAGCCTGTGCATTACCCCACTCAATTGCAGGCAAAGTAAATTTTGGCAGGGATAGTAAAGAGTATGTGACAACCCTAACATTTTGAACCCAATCCTGTAAGACTTCCAGGGGAACATCTTGTCATGAACTGAAACACAAGCAAGACAGACTTGGGTCATGACGGATAGGAAAACACTGTTAAGTTTTGTGAATGTTTCTATTATTTATTACAGCAGAAGTTAATAATATTCATAGAATTTCCTCAAACTTGAAATCTAGTTAATTTTAGAGAATACATCAATGTTTGTTTTCAGCTCTACACCTCTAAGGTCCCCATGCCAGTTGGTATAGCTATAAAATCACATTTTCCTAATTTAGAGATAGTGCCTTTTGCTCTCAAGCTGCCTTGAGTCTCCCCACCACCACCACCATTGCTAAAGAAAACTGCTAAACCACTATCAACTGTTCAGACAAGCATGAGGCAGGGGACACAACACAAATACATTTTTATTTAATTTTCTCAGTTCCTTAAGCATGTTTTATAAGTAATGCTTGGCAGTTTTTAAATTTATAGTGCTGTGATACAGTCCAAAAGAGCTACTACCATCAAACAAAAAATATTCGGTTCTGACAGGCATTTGAGAATTCTTGGTATTGTTACATGCATCTCCCAGGAAGTTTTTGAGCTTGATTTCTTGATAACTAGTCCTAACTTCAGTTCTTGTGGAATATCAATTTTGAATGAAAACATACTATTTTGCACTCATTTTCCCCTCTCCCATCTTTGATGATTAATCCTGTTGTGGTTCAAAGTATACAGAGAAAGTATGAGTGAAGGTGAATGGCACAAAAAACATAGAAGAGTGTGATTTATGGGATGCACTGACATTTTTGTAGCTTTTGGTGTAACATTCTGTTCTCAAAGGAAACGGTTAACTCTGTGTACACACACACATATATATGTATAAAATATGTATTTGTGTCTTAGGGGAAATTTCTTTCTCAATTTATTTTTTAAAAATACGCATATCAGCAAACAACAGGTTAGCTGTCCATGAAGGAAAACATTGATACCTTTATCTTTAGAAATGACTTCCCTCCGGTCAGTGAATCATTCTGCAGAAATGGTGAATCTCAGCTTAGGGCACAAAGTAACAAATTTAAAAAAAAAAAAAAAAAAAAAAAAAAAAAAAGGCAAAAAATAAATGTGTTCATCTTGATGAAGGAAAGCTGTAAATTAAAACAGAGCTTCTTGGTAGATCTGGGGCCCTACCTTTTCTGAAGCTAAAACACTGGTTTGTTCTCCCAGCTGAGATTTTTCAAAGCTTTACTCATGTGCAGTTTCAGGATTCTTCAAGCAGGTCCTGTTAGGTGTGTGCAGACAGCTAAAGACCTTTCTCAGACCCCTCTGAGAATGCTAATTTTATAGGTTACCCATTCCCACTAGCTTCAAAGCATGTTTTTAAGCCTTCAAGAAGAGCAGCTGATTCTTCTGTGCAAAGAGAGTACAAACCTCCGCTGCCTTTACAAAAGCGATAATTTATCCCCTGTTAAAGGCACGTTGTCCAGTAAATGTTTTTTGTAGGTTTTTTTTTTTGTGCCTGAGTTCTTTTATTTTTTTCTTAGAATGCTGATAGCGGTGAAAGTGCATTCATCCAGCGGAAGGAGAAATCAGACAATTTAACCAGTAAAAAAATCCTTGAGTGCAGTAGATACAACCCACACAGCTCTTGAGATGGATTTCCAGCCCCCATTACATCAGTATGAGGATGAGAGGCCGGAAAATAGTTCTGGCTGCTGCTGTCCTGTGGTGTCATTAGCTAACCAGCACTGTCACCCCGTGGTGCTGCTGGTGAGAGGTGGCCTGTAGGAATCCTCAGCCTGGGCACAGCCTGCTCTGCTACCACTATGCATCACCTCCCTCAGCTGCCTTCTGCCCAGGGAGGGGGTGCTTATTCCCCATGTATACCAATGTGAAGCTGTTATTGTTGTGGTCCTCTTACAGAGGAACATCCTGGCTTCTTTGGGAGTTGCTGACATGGCTGCTGTACCTCTGACAAAGCTGCCATTTCCTAAACTAACCTAGCTTTTGTCTTTGACTGTTTTTCTCTGAAGAAAAAAAAATATCGGGAATATTTATTTCCCTCTGGCGTTGAGTTTCTTGTTGAATCAGAATAGCTTGAGTTGAGATCATTGCAGTGTTTCATAAGCATTACCAATTTATAGACTTAAAAAGGGGAGAAGGGAAGGAAAATAGTGAAAAACCAAAGGTAGATTCAGTTTTGCAACATTGCCCATTTTAAATAACAAATTGAGTTCAATCATCACAACAAAACTAGAAGATGACAAGCTAAGACAGGCTGTTAAATTTGTATGGGTTTCTAGCTGGTAAAGCCCGCTGTCAGGCTCTTTTCAAGGAGCTGCTCGTGGGTTTTGACAACTTCATTCAAACTGTGTGGAAGTCTGTTTGCCTTCTTGGAAAAATCTCAGTCCTTGCTCTATAGCTTCTGGTAATGCTGCCACTAAAATCCATCCCATCTTTCTTTGATCAGTTTCCCCATGTGAGTCTCTTGCATGAGATTCTTGCTGTCCTTTCACATCATCTTCAGGGCGTATCGTCAGCTTGCCCTTCATCTCCAAGACAAGTCTATTAAAATGAAAAGTTTCTCAAAGTATCTTCTGGGTACTGTATCGCTTCTCCTCACTAGATGGTTGGATTTTTGAAACTCAAAGCCATTGAGTGAAGTGTGAGCATTTCAAGTTGGCTGTGGCTCTGTGCTGAGAGACCTGCCTGGGCTGTCCTGCTCGTCTCACTGGGAGATATCTACAGAGCAGTGCCAGGGGTTGCAGGAGTAGCTGGTGATAATGCACACTGTCAGTTGCCTCTGACTTTTGGAAAGGTGCATGCCAGCACCTTCAGCATGTAAAAGTGGTCTTGTGGGTGTCTTCAGATGGGCAGCACAGCCACTTGCTGAACTGGAAGCTGCTTTTGTAATCGTGACCTGAGCATGTAACGCAGCCTTCTTTGCCCAACCACAGCTTCTTCCAGCAGGATGAAGGAAAACAGACCACATCTGTAGGAGCTCTGATAGTTCCACAGCAGCTGTTCCTCCTTAGATAGCATTGCCAGTGCCATACTGACATACCGAGTGTGGAGGCTTGGCAAAATAAGCAAGCACAGTGTGACTAACCAATCATGCTAGTGCTGAGAGCTTGGCAGGGTCCACGAAGGCTGCTGTTGAGTAGCCAGATACAGCTGTGTTTCCAGTGGCCTGTGTGGATTACCATCTGCTTTGGGGTACATAGACTGTCTTGCTTAGGTATGATTTGGATGCCCAAACTTAGGTTTTACTGTTGCCAGAGAGCTAATTGGCAGAGGTGGGTGGATGAATAGAATTCAGTGTCTGAATTGGCAGAGTAGTGGGAATACACTGGTATGTATCTTTTTTAAGGATCCAAGGCTAGCAATACAGGGGCAGTGGGGCAAGAAGGGGGAGTCTTGCCTCCCAGGTATGCCAATGTTGGCTGGGACAGAGCAAAGATTTGCAGCTCCCTTAGCAAGCAGAACAAAGAGAATGCCAGATGCAACATCCCAGTATGAAATGTGCTGCCCTTATTACTTTTGAGCCAAATCTGTGTCTTGCCCTCACTTAGAGATGTCTGTGTCCCAACACAAACCTCTTAAGGTAAGGTGGGAAGGCTTGAATCCCCATCTTCTGTCTTCTTTAGCTGCTGCTGCAAATTGTCTGTGTGCTTTTTGACACATGAGCAACACAGCATCTCTTTTCAACCAAAGAGTAGTAGAGAGCAGGATGACTGATAATACTGTTTTTACCATGTGTTTTTCTCACTTTGCAAACCAGGACCCCCCTCTGCTCCTCGGAGTGCCATCTCAAATGTTAACGAGACTAGTGTCTTTCTGGAATGGATTCCCCCTGCTGATACTGGTGGAAGGAAAGATGTGTCTTATTATATTGCATGCAAGAAGTGCAACTCACACTCAGGTCTGTGCGAGGCATGTGGCAGTCATGTCAGGTACCTCCCCCAGCAAACCGGCCTGAAAAACACCTCTGTCATGATGGTGGATCTGCTTGCTCATACAAACTATACCTTTGAAATTGAGGCAGTGAATGGAGTGTCCGACCAGAACCCTGGAGCCCGGCAGTTTGTGTCTGTAAATGTAACCACAAACCAGGCAGGTAAGTGGATCTTCAACCTGGGAAAATGTCTGGGGTGGGAGCCTGAGCAGTCAGACCCACTGAAGGCCTCCCTTTGAAATGGGTGGAAATCCCCCACATGTAGGGCTGGACTGTCGATCTTTTGAATATGTTGGGTGGTGGGGTGGTTGTGTCTTGCAGGCTATAATTACTGCAATCTTCAACGTATTTCCTTCCAGCAGGACACACTTAGAATCTGTGGCTTTTTCTTTTTTCTGTTATATTAAATAAGCTACTTGGAGTTCCCACCACTTCTTTGCAGTTCTGTGTATCTGCTCACTAAAACAGGGGGAATATAATTGCCTCTCCTGTTGGGAAGGGGCAATCCCTGAGAGTTCATTTTGATTCCACATGTCAGTGGTCTAAAACATCTAAACTTCACAGTTACCCTAAGAAAATAGTCTTGAGCGACTTCAGGAAAATCAGTTCCTCTCCTGTGTTATGACATACAGTGCAGTGTCAGTGCATCTCCAACAAGGTAGGACTGAGATGTCATTGCATACTGTGTCACTGGCTTTGTACTGTGCAGACAGATCTTGTATATTGGTTTGTTCCTTTGTCTGGAGCTCAGATTTGCCTGCCAACCCTTTGGAAGCCTAGAGAGAAAAAAACAACTGTTGTGTTTGGGGCAAGCTGCTTTGGCGCTTCAGAGTTCTGTGCTTTGAACACAGGCAGGTGTGGAGTTGACATTGTCACTTGTCATTTGGAGGTGTGATGGGAGAGAAAAGCATGATTACTCTTTCTGTGCACATCAACACATCGGGCACATCACACAACTTCTTTAAGACCCAGAGAACCCACCCACACACATACATTTCCATTCTTTTCTAGTCCCTTGTATGCTCTGTGTTTTAAGTTTTTTCCTACTGCTTACCTAGCTTGCTTCCTGCTGCTTAGTTTAAGGCCCCCAGTGGTACTTGTCTGCTGTGGACCCCATCCAGAAACGTGAATTAGTGGAATTTGAGACCTTGCAGACTGTGCTGCCTGATCAGAGGAGCCAGTGTTTGCCTTCTCCTTACAAAGATTTAGCAGGAAATGTGGTGCGATATGCAGAGTAACAGCTAGATGGAGATTGTCAGATCCTCACTGTGAAGCAGAAACTAGTTAGCTGGAGCAGGACTGCATTTCATTCCTGCTGCCCAGGTATACATGTGTGGGCTTGGCTGCCAGCAGTGAGAATGTAATTGTATTGGACTTCATCAGATACCTACCCAGATAATTAGACGGAATTGTCAAGGTGTTGGACAAATTGTTCAAGGAGAGCAAATAAAGGCATGCTGGGGTTACTGCTCACTGCTAATGGATGTAGCAAGGAATCTTCCAGAGGAGCATCAGTGGATGGCAGTATGACACCTGTTTGAGGCACCTGTTTAGTGCAGATCAGTGGGTGTCTTAGTCCTAATGCTGTTTACTGTTGTCCTCCTACTGGGAAGGTTGCTGCCAGTAACTACTGCTGGAAAAAAAATGTATTTTCCTGTTAGTAGGCTTGTGTTAGCATTTCATTGCTGGCATTACTTTTTCCCTGATATGTAGAATTAAATCCACATAACCCTCTGTAAACGTAGAGAGAAATGAGAGAAGATGATATGTCGCTGATCACTTCTGTCTGTGAGGAAATGGCTCTGTTCTGTGAGTTATGTGCCAAATTCCTGGTAGTTGCAGCTGGATTTATCTGCATAGCTAGCTTCTTGTGACTCAAGCCAAGAACATCTCCCTTGCACAGTTATTGCCCACAGCTTTGTACAGGGAGATCCATTGTACGACACTGTAGACCTGTTGGTTTCACATGAAAATACAGTTCCTGTTAAAGACAGTGGGTAAGTTTAGGTTCTGGTTCAGTCTCTGTGTTACCCTGGCAGAGCTGCAATGCAGCCTGGGGAGACACAGGCAAGGGTAGTACTAATGGATCGAGCCACAAGTGTTTAATGCTCTGTGTAGCATTCAAGTAGTATCTGTATGCTCTTGTGTTTGAATCTGTAGGAGGTGCTTGCAGAGTCCACTCATCATCCAGAGGGATTGTGCAGGGGATTTTATTGCTGGAGCTGGTCCCACCCAGTTCACTGAATAAAGAGAGCCGGGCCTGTTTGCTTGAGCTGTACAATTCGTGCATCAAATGTGTTTTTCAGTAATGTTCCTCATCCTCTGCTCTCTGGACACTCCCTGGGATGACAATCACTTTGTCCATGCCAGAAACAAAGCGACTGTAGACAAGGACTGGACAAATTATATGCAAGCATGGAAAGTGGCTATCTGTTTTATTTAGGTTCCTCTGAAAAATGTCCTTTGGGGTTAGTAATGGAGGTATGCAGGCAGAGTGGTCTATGGTTGGCCATAGCTAGAGATGCTAAATATCTCTGAAAGAGCCTCACCTTCAGCTGTTCTCTCAAATCAAAGCAAGCAAAGCACATGGGGCTTTAGCAGGGTCTCAGCAGCCTAATCTCCCCAGGAAACCAGCACCAAGAAATGCTGCCCTGGGGACCCATCCTTTCTCTCACGCAGATTTTCTGCCTGTGTGATTACATTTCTATGAAGGCTGGTATAATTAAGTAGAGTCACTAAAGGCCTGGTAGCATTACAAGGCCAACTGCAGCAATAGGAGAACAACAGCTATGTGCTGTGGAAAATGAAAAAAATTCATGCCATGGGTTAGGTCTAGCTGTTTGAGGCCCACTGGCCTCACTAACCCAGTACTGGAGGGAAATGCCAGGATTTATTTTGCTGTTTTGGCTTTGTCTGTCCCCACCAAGAAAAAACATGCTAATTTCAGGACTGCAGAGAATGTGCAAGCAGCAGGATGTTGGCTGTGCCATGTCTTCTATGTATGGGAGCTTTTGGCAGTAGAAACTGTGTCTGATTTGGGTTCTTGAAGGGATTGCTTCCTGAGGAAAATGTGTTCCTCTCCAAACTAATTTGTTCCCCTTTCTTCTCTCCCCAATTTGAAATAACGATAAAAAGAACTGGCACTGGCAATCAGTCTGGCATTCTCAGTCTGATGTAATTTTCCTCCGAACTTTTGAAATGAAGTTTGGAAGTGCAGCAAGAGAGAAATAATTTTTATGCACAAATGAGGCACATCAGCTAATCTCAGCTGGTGACCCCAGCACACTTCCCCAGGGATGTGATGGTACCTGGGATGGGACCAATCTATGTTGGACACAGTGTCTGCAGACTGAGTACTGATTCCCGTGTCACAACCTGCTCTTCCTCAGTGATCCCAAGCTTCTGTTCTTTCTCTGTGATTTTGCAGATGTTTTTCACTAGATACTGTCATGGATCTGGACAGTGCAGCCAGCCAGGAAAGGTGGAAAGTGCACTGACCTCCACTGTGACACCTCAGAGCTGCAGGAGGCAAAAAGAGGACCTTGCTACCTGTTATCTTCCCACACCTCTTAAACATCTGGTGCAGCTCCCTCCTCAGGTCTAAGTGCTCTGTCCCTGTCCACTGTCCACCATGCAGTTAGACCATCTATTTCTGATAGTGCAAGCAGAGGGCAGTTCTTGGATTCAAGGGTCAAGAAACCTTGTGTAGACTGGTCAAAGCATGGTTGTCCCCATTGGGACAGCTGTAAAATAAGCACACACGGGAGTTCTCAGCACAGATGGCAGGGAGCCATCTGTAATGCGGTCTGAAAGCATTAGAAAGTGTGCCTCATGCACATGGGCTGGAGCCCAGTGAATAATTCATAACTGGCAACAATAGGACTAAGTTAGCCATCCTTTTCATGTTGGTGGTTTTACTCAAATTTTTATCTTTTTGAAACTGCCATTTCCAGAGAAAAACTGTTTCTAGAGAGCAGTCTGCCGGTGCTGCTAATACTGAAGTTGGCTTTTCACATGACAATGTGTGATGTTTTTTCTTAGAGATTCCACCAAGCTGGGTGATTAAGTAATGCTGTCATTCTAGACAAAGATGTGCATCTCCCCTGAGGTCTTTCATCTTATCTGCCCCATGCACAGAAGGCACCTACCATGAATTCTCGCTCAGGGATGTGTATCTTGTAATGGGACTGTAGGGAGCAAGTGGTTGTGATTCATGGTTGCCTGTTTGCCCATTGTATCATCATCCACACACACAGTGGGAAAGCATAGCATTAAAAACCCTTCTGGGCTTAAAACCTGCAAAAGTAATTCAGTTGTAGCCAGCCTAAACAGCTGAGCAGTTTTCTTTGCCTTTCATTTCCAGCTGGACATGGGCTAGAGATGGGGGGTCTAGGAGTGGGGCAGTTCTTTTGCTGATTACTCACATGCCATGGACTCTCTTTACATTTGAAGACCTTCTTCTCTGTATGTGTTTTCAGATGAGCCCCTTGCCTGTTTTCTACTTGAAAAGCTGGAAATCAGCATTCAGTCCAACTCTGTGACCTGTATGGTGTTTTCACGCCTTTTGGGGAAAAGGGGGAAGAAAGGTCTGGATGTGCTTGCTAGCACTGGAGGAGTTAGTGTGTCTAATGCTTCAAGAAGCCTGCATGCCTGAGGCCAAAACAGAGATACAAGTTGTGTCCTGTGGTGCAGCAGTGATCTTTAAGCAAAGATGTTGGAGGACAGGACCTGGCAACCCATGCTGCTGCCTGGGAAGCAGGGCCAGATTCTTCCTTGACCAAAAGAAAATGCTAAATGCTTGGAGCAGCTAAAAAGCTGTCAGGAGCAGAGAGGTGTGCTGAGAGCAATGACCCTCACTCTGACTATGCAGACTGTGACACAACAGTTGCAAGGAGCAAAAGAGAAGGGATTTTCCTTAGCACTTAGGGTGCACCAGCCTATGAAAAGCAGCCAGGAGCAGTTTGGAAAAGGAAAACTACAGTGTAAGGCTTGTTACAATCTTAGGTCAACAACTGCATGCTCTTGAAACAGAAAAACTGCAACTCCACACAGACTGGGAAGAACATACCAGAAAATGAGGCAAGAAAATGTCAGTACTCAGTGCACTGGGAAGCTGTGTTCTCCGAGATTGCCTTTGAGAAAGGTTCAGTTCAAAACCTGTA